TTTTTTTTTTGACTGAAATGTCAGTAGAGATGTTGTATTTGTTTGTTCCATATAAAAGCGCTTTAAAATGAGAAAATCGAAAGACTGAGAAACATAAGCAAACTATATTTTTAATCAGAAATTAGTCCCTCTTTTCGCTACTTTTAAAAGTTTCGATGTTTTGAAAACGTAGAAATAATTGATTTCTGTATTTTTGTAGACATGATATGGACAAAAGCGTAGTTTTTCTTTTTTTTTTTTTTTGTTTGAACATTTTCTGTAAACAAAAAAAAATGTACACAAAAGCATGGATATAATAAAGACACAACTGATTTCTGTAGAAAATGACATTCGAATGAGAAAGGAAGCGGATGGAGTGAAATTTGAGTTTTGTTTTTTGAGGTTACTACTGTGAAATTCGGTGAACTTTTTTGAACGAGCCATGTTCGTTTTTTTTTCGCTATTTTTCGTAAAATGCGCTAAAATTAGGTCAATTTTGATGGTAATCAAACTTCAGTACCAAGTGCGGGAATGAGTTCCTTATCACTGAAAGCAAACATCCAAATGTTTAAAGTTTGAAGCACAGTTTTGTCACTGAAGCCGCGAGTTCTAAGGGAAGGAGCCGTATATTCTTGTGGTTTTAAATATTCTTATCCTTAACTTTGCATTTTGACAATTTTTTGATATTTTATCACTAAGCGGTGATTGATTTTGCTTGTTACATTTGTAATATCATTGCTGTTGAGAGGGGATTCATTCAACGATTTTTGTCAAATTTTTAAACCGCTGCTTCGAAACTCTGCCAGTTAGAAGGGATACTTTTTTGAGATCTGATACATTCGTTTGATCAAAAAATTTTTTGTTTGCTTTTCAAACAGCCCACGAAAAAGGGAAATGCTGGCATTATCAGTTAAAATTTACTGTAATTTTGGCAAATGCAATCACTGCATATTGTCCTCGTTGCCTCTACTTTCGATAATACCTCGCTGTTCTCCTTCGGATATCCTAAAAAGTGATATTTTTTCGGAAACTCCAAAGTCCCACATTTCTCTGTTTTTGTATTTTATGAAATAAAGAACGGATTTTAATGGTCGAATGGTATCCTTTTTCGTAATCCAGTTAAGCTTGATGTTGTGTTGCGCAACTGCTTCCCATGCTTGCTGGAGTGTTCCATTTGAGAAGGCATCTGATTTGCCCATCATCACCCTCTTCCACGTTCCCCACCATGCATCCACAGCTTTCCTTCCTCTTACCTACCTTCGCCCTTCTTCCACCCCTTTCCACTCCTTCTGCCCCTTCTGTCCCCCCTCTTTAGCCCCTTCATTTTCATCTTATTCTTGGACCTTATACTAATCCATTTATTCGATCAAATTGCCACCGTTTGTGTGCGCCCCTGATGTTGCCTGTACAGTTCAAGCTAATTTGTAGCTGCAGCAGCAGCAATGCTTGCTGCATGACAGGCTCATTTCTGATTCTCAGCTCATTAACATCTGTCCCACTGGCCAAATTATGATATTACATGCGTACAGTAGCCAAAAGTTGGCCTGTGCACCCTACAACAAAACATGTGTACTAATTTGACAAAATTTTTTACATCTCGGCTTTTTTGGAAGTTCCACATATGATAGATAAATAGATATGTGCGGGAAAATGGTATAGCAAAACAGCCCTAATGTATACTGGAAGAGTTGAACTAGAACGATACAGGGAGCGAACGCACTCGAAGTTTAAGGTGTCCGAATGTTACCACGTAAAAATTGATGAAATAACGGAATAGAAGATAAGGAATCAGTCTGAGTATCATTTGCAAGAAGACATATTTGGAAGCAGTCTGTGTTTCATTCCTTAGCTGTAAACGCAGATCGAACGCAGTATGAGCGTAGTAGGAGTGGGAATCATCTGTACAGCATTCTATCCGCTGTAATATAGGGGGAGGCTGTATTGATGATTTCCACGTATTCTCAACATCGGGCTCGGCTACTACTGCAAAAATAACCTTGACTAAACTATAAATCAGGCGTGGGCAATCTTTAGCAATGCGCGAGCCTGATTTGCAAACTTACTTAAGTCCATTAAACCCAAATTTAATGTTTGTAGACACGTCAGACCTCAGGTTACAAAGAGGTTTTGAAAGTAATTCTTTTACTGCAGCAGTTACACAAAATGCATACTCTCGAGACTGTGTGTGTTCCGAGTGTATTTCATTCAGGCCTTCAACTCGGAAATCGGAGAAGCTAGAAAGCTGAAATTTAAAGAGGGGATACTCTACCCGTGTGTGATTTCGCAAATTCAAATCCAGTGTCTGTGTGCGTCTAAATTTTATGTACGGCCATGTGCAAATTTTAGCGCCTAAGCTAATAGCTCGAGAAGCAAAAAAGCTAGAAAGCTGAAATTTTAGAAGAATGTTCCTTGCCCCCATAAAATTAAATTTAGCCTTTAGGCGCACCTAAGCCTTGCGTACGGACATTTAAAAGTTTTGACGAGAAAATTATTAACTCGGGGACCAGAAATGTTACGAGAATGTCCACTGACCGCGTATGACCGCAAGCTCAGACCCAGCCCTTGCATGTCTCTATCTTGCGCACGTGTAAACTTTTAGCGTCAAAATCGGGGACCGTAAGGGCTGTGAAACTGAAATTTCAGAATGATGACTAAGTCTCAGGTATGGACACACGAAAGTTTTGGCGCCAACATTAGCAAATTAAGAACCAGGAAAGCTAGGAAGCTGCAGTTTTGGAATGTCTCTTGTTCACGTATGACTCCGCAAATTCAAATTCAGTCTCCTTCTCCTCATCTCGAATTCCTCGATTTCCTATAGGCACATGTGCAATTTTTGGCAACAAAACTAATAACCGGGAGCCGCAAAAGCTAGGAGACTGAGATATAAGGACAAATGTTCCTTGCGCATGCGATCTCGTGATTTTAAAAATAAGTCTTCATGCGCGCCTCGGTCTCACGTGCGGACTCGTAAAAGTTTCAGCACAAAATTACTAACTTGGAAATTAGAAAAGCTAGGAAATTAAAATTTCAAAATAAGGCTCCTTAACTACGTACAAATTAGTAATTCCATGCGTTTGGTTCTCACCTACGGAAACATCAAACTTTTGAAGTTAAAAACTAATAAGTCCGGGACCACAAATTTTCCGCACTTATCAATCAGTAACGCAGTGAATACTTCTAACAGCAAGGTTTCCTCTGACAGAATCGCAAACGCGTTAGCTGGACGGGGCTGCATAAGACGTATGGTCGCACCAGTTACCCTGGTGTATGCCGTTATATATTTTTGACCTGTAGCTCTTAAATAGGCGTTTCAACCAACTTTTTTGACTCATCTCTTCTTTCCATAAAAAGTAGGCTCCTTGAATCTCAAAGTTTCTGAGTTGAATCGGATTGACATATGTATGCATATAT